GCTCAGTGACTGACTGACTAATGAAAATCTGAAAAGCTAATTTGGCCGCCATCTTTGTCTTTGAAGCCATTTTGAAGGTAGTTTTTTGAGTGTTTGAACGTTTGAGACATGCAGACGTAGAGGGTAATTACTAGGAATGTCTAGAACGATGTAAAATATAATCATTTGCTATTTTATATAAGAATGAACGAGAAACAGAGTCAAAAGTTTTTTATTCAATTTTTGGCGTTATTCAAATATTACGTTCCAGTTGATATTACAGTTACTGATTCGGCTTCCTGAATAACACGACTTTATCTGGGAAAGAAATTTTCACAGAAACTGTTCATCGTTATCGCTTGTAACATCTTGAACTGAGAGCGTCTCAGAATCAGTAAATATGGAAAGTTTGGTTGCGAAATGATTGAAAATGTAGAAGACATATCTGCACGAAGTTGGCAAACTTGAATTAGTTTACGCGCGAAAAAGTTCGGCCGGTGACAAACTTTTCCAACCTCGTGCAAGACGATATTTTTCTTACTATTTAATACTTCGCGACCAAATTTCGAATTTAACTAATTTTGTGAAGCTCTTCGCCTCTTTCCAGTTGTACTTATGAATGTTGTTAGGTTTGAATTTTGTCTTATTAAAGGGAAATGGTGCAACACTTCAGTCCTCAGTGGGCAATGGCTGCATGCTGAGTGAATTCACCGTGGGAGATAGCTTCCTGCACGCAATGCGCCATATAATATGGATGTAGCGACGTGTTTTAAGAGAATTTATGCGGCACATGGTGTGATGATGGAACACGACAATTTCAAATGCTTCCAGTTTCAATCCAAGACGAAAAAACTTTTACCCCCAATTCCGAGGATTTTCTCCTGTAAATTTTCAAGCCGCGACTCATTTGAATAAAAGCACAGTTAATAGAATATACATGCTTTGGAGAGCACATAAAACACAATAGAACTCATCACTATGTTGAGGTAGATTTATGCAAAAAATTGTTCCTTTCTCATCACATGTCTATTGTACTTTGCGCGGATAAACCAAAGCAATCTTTTAATTAACATACTATTCAAGTCATGGCAGAGGAGCTGAGCAAGACAAATGCCATTGGTAAATTTGGCTAAAATACAATAGACACGTGACGAGAAAGGAACCATTTTTTGCATAAACCTGAACAATAACATAGTTAATGAGTTGTATTGTACTTTTATTTAGTCTCCAAACCATGTATATTCTATTAACTGTGATAAAAGGTTTGTCCTCCTAAATTATTTTCATCTTCTAAGTGTTCAAAAAATCTCCTTTTTTCATTTTTGCTGGTCGCCGATTTTGCTCAACTATTGTCGAGCTGAGGCCACTTTTACGCGCGGTTTTGTCATTGTTTTTGAATCATATTATCTGCACTTTACATGTAGGATCATTTCCACTATAGCATGGAGTCCTTTACTTATATAATTCTAAATAGCGACATTAAATGCGGGGGGTAGTGTTACCCGCATGCCTGCAGTTTTTTTAACCCCTGGGTTCGAATTAGTGCAGTAAGACAGGCAGTAAGAAAGACACACAAATTTCCTTTATTATTAAAATTTTATTGGTTTTCTAGGATATCAATGACTTGCGTATGTGGAAACACTGTTTGAAAAACAAAATGGCGTCCAAAATGATAGCCAAATTTCACACTGTCTTGATAATTTGAATCTTGTTTCAAGTTCTTTGAAGCGGACACTTTGGCCTTCTTGTAAAAGCAAGTTCACAAAGTCTTGAGAAAACTGTCTTTCTGAAATGCCTTCGGAGTTGATTGTATTTAGAATTAATCTAGCTTTGTGACGTTGAATGAGTTATTGTCCATGAGTTCCCATACTTTCTCTTTTAACGTGTTCACAATGTCGTTTGAAACGAACAAATGAGTCTCGTCTAAATCTTCCAGCACGAACTTCCTGCCAAATGCCAAAGTTTCATCCAAATGCAACAGGAACTGTTTCAAAACAGCGTCGCTAAAAAGACGAATAAAAATAAGTGCTAATAGAGAACAGTTTTCTATATTTCTATCCCAAAGCGATATCGTAACGCCGCAAAATAGTTCGATATTTCTCACCATTCAATTAGAACGCCTTTCAAAACATTCACCATTTTGACTTTTGTTTCCACTTGAAATATCAAATTTTCAAATTCCAAACAAAAACTGCAGTCTGCTGCAAATACCTTCACGGTTTTATAAAAAAATGCAATCTTTCCACAAATTTCCCAAGACTAAAATGCACACCGCTTGTACAAAATGTTTGTACTTTCTTAACCACGCGGCTGGCGACAATTCATCCAATATTTCATTTTAATTTATTCATCAATACACTAATATTAATTTCATATTAAATATACATAGTAATCTCAAAGATTAAACTATTTTCCTTTTGTATCCTCTTGTAAACGTTGATATCTTCTTTAAGCTGTTCCATCCTTTCAATATGGCAAAGTTCAGCCTGATCTCGGGAAAAGTTAATTTTTTCCTCAATGTTTTCCACTCGTTATCCATTCTCGCCCTCCTCTCTTCCACTTTCTCCGCGTTCTCTTCCGGCAGCTTATTTTCCAGGATCGCGTTTGCTTTCGTTATCGCATTCTCGGCTCTGTCCAACACCGTTTGAACATGTTCCTTCGCCAAATCATCGACTTCTGGCAGTAAAGTTTCGATATGACCACAGTTAACACTGGCCTGATTTAGGCGCGAAAGCTCTCTATCTTTACGCTTCGTCTCAAATTCTTGAACGTAGAAGTTCACTTCTCTTTGAATAGGCCCGTGATGGTTAAACAACTTGCCATAAACATCGCCTATATCACGCACTAATTTTTCGGCAGACATTTTGGATTTTGGAATTTCCGAAATAACTTCCTGGATACTTTATGTAAAGTTCCATATTCAGTGCCGTCCGCTATCGTAATTTTCCGATTCGTCTTCGGAACTATTCGGCTGAAATGAACGAGAAATTTTGGCGGGAATATTCACGTGCACGTCGAGGGCATTTAACTATTGTGTTGTTGTTAGAAATCTGTGAAAAACCCCGAAATATCTTCCTCGATCTGTAAACGATGGCGTTGGATCCCGAACAGTACTTAAGAACAGTGCAAAGAGAGTATTTGGACTTCATCGATGATGATGTAAGTTGAATAGATTGTTTGAAATATCAATATGTATTTATATGCTGGTGCTGTATATTATTAAACTGTATCCATTATGTATAGTTATTCTTTGTACAACGGTGTTGAAATTGTTGTGTACAAAAGCGATCGGAGCGTGTTTTCATTGCATTTCTGTCTGGAGATTTAATGACCTTCTAAATCGATAGAGATTCGTGGCAAATAGTCAATTTAGAGATAGAAATATTTCTATAAAATGGAGGATGTTTATATTATTCATACGAATAATTTTACATATTACTGTATTTCTTCCTGCGTTGTAAACCTTGGTTTTCATCATCTCATGTCTGCTTCTGACGATATCGTGCAAAACGATTTTCTATTTCACTTTATATAAGTGCACGCTCCTATTAATATAAGGCCAGTAACCAGGGTGCATCCATGTAGCATATGCCAAAGATCTATTTGCTATGCTTTTTGGCTGATTTGCATGCCAATTCAATCATTTGTGTGCTGCCGTAGACAGTGCATTCGCTTAACAGTGCTTCTGGTGTGTGAAGATGTTATATTTGCATGTGTTTATTAATTACCTTTTTAATGTTCATGATTGACTCTTTGTGCAGTAGATAGCTCTTGTGTGCGAGTGACAGGCTTCAGAGGAAACATCCATTTAGGCTTCCATATAATGACTTAACAGGACATTTGTAATTTTTATTGGCGGTGCTTCAATGTAGCTGCACGTGAAACTCACCATTGACTAGCAAATTTGGTTAAGTGATTACATAACATATATTTGTTCTCATATAAACTTGTTTCTTCATCTGTCTTATACAACAAGATAGAATCCGAACTAACCAGTTGCATAGACTGAACTTTTGATGAACATGATGAGACAGAATCATTTAGACTTTCTTTCAACATGAATGGTTTGTTTTTTGAATGAAAAATATTCTTCCAGGATGACCAAGGTATTTATCATGGCAAGATCAGTGACATGATCAAGAAGGAAGGATGCAGACTCATCGTAAACATCAATGACCTGAGACGAAAGAATGAAAAACGAGCAAGCAAGTATGTGAACCACAGCCGTTGTGATAGAAAATTGTGAATTAGAGATGCAAGACTGATTATAATTGTTATCTAACATAAATTGAAAAACGTGTACTAGACCAATTATATAATTCCTACCCTGTTCTCAGATGTATTGCTCCCTTTCTAGACCCTATTTTCCCACCCTCTCCAGGCTGATGTCCTAGCTCTTTCTCTTCAGTCTTATGTCTGCTCCCTCTTTAGACTTATGTCCTCTTTGCAAATATAAAAATTGCCTCCAGATCGCTACTTAATAACAATCTTTTTTGTATTGAGTATTGTACAGTACTAGATCTGTTTGTTTATTGTAATATATCTAGGTTATTGACAGAGTCATTTGAAGAACTGACAGCATTCCAGGTAAAAATATGATCTCAAATTTGAAAAACTGAACAGATAAATATGTTAACTGTATTTTATTCATTTAAATCTATTGCAGAATGCATTGAAAGAGTTTGTTGGCTCAGCAGATGCAACATATTCAAAGAAATTTGAAGAATTTTTTGTCGGTTTTGAAGGAAGGTAAAAGTTGTGAAAAAAATTAGTTACATACATGCTTGTATGAAGATACCACAACTCAAGAATAAGTTCTTAAATTTGTTTTGGTAATTCTCTAGTTTTGGGTCAAAGCATGTCACTCCAAGAACACTCACGTCACACTTTCTTGGGACAATGATCTGCGTCGAAGGAATAGTCACAAAATGTAAGTACTATAGGCAGCACTTATTTATTAGATCAAGCTTCACCCTGATTAGCTTGGTCGAGTATACCCTAAACCAGTATTACCTAATAATCATCCTTTGCTAGATTGATCATCATTCCATAATCTGCAATTATCCTTACAACCATAGACTAATAAACAGCTATATAACTTTAAGTAAGGCACATTCACATGCGACCACACAAATTTGGAACTATGCTCAAAATCGCAGATACCTAAATTTGTCTGGACCTGTGTGAACTAGCCATATATGAATGTGAGATAATGTTATTTTAATGATGTGCAGCCATATATATACACAAGGATATGCCTGTTTGCTATCATAACATCATAACTTTAACAATCCACCATAATTTAATGATCACCCATCATCTCCCATCCCGCAACAAGTCTACCCCTCATCCAATATCTAGTTAATGTATTATTTTAATATATCACAGGTTCTCTTGTATGGCCAAAAGTTGTGCGAAGTGTTCACTACTGTCCAAAGACGAAGAAAACTTTAGAAAGAAGATACACTGATCTGACGTCATTGAATGCATTCCCAAGCAGTACTGTGTATCCAACCAAGGTAAACTGACTATCCTCACACATTTCAGATAACTTTCATAGCTTGCTGTAGTCATTTTACATTTTTTAGCAAGAAAAGGCTTTACATTTAGTAACTAACCTTAGGTCTTTTGTCATGCATTTAAAAATACATTTGTAAAATGAAGAAATAAAAAAATATTTTTAGGATGAAGAGGGTAACCCCTTAGAGACAGAATATGGCTTGTCGAAATTCAAAGATCATCAGTCATTTACGATACAGGTAAATTATGCCAGATCCTATATAATTGGTTCAATTCTGGTAATTGACATCATGGTGGTGTTTGTGTCATTTAGGAAATGCCAGAAAAAGCACCAGCTGGGCAATTGCCACGTTCAGTTGATATCATTGTTGATAATGATTTGGTCGATAGTTGTAAAGTAAGTATACTATATGCTATCAAGTATACGAAAGGTTAATTTAGTTCAGGTTTCTCTTGTAATAAATAAGAGATGATCCTTACTGAACCTCCAGGAAGAACAGTTTAGAACTGATAGAACTGATAGAGCTATCCAGTGTAAATAAAGTTAGTTTAGTTTAGGTTTCCTCAATCCTGTAGTAACACTGGATCAATAAGAGATATGATCCTTACTGGACCTCTAGGAAGAACAGTTTAGAACTTATAGAGCTATCCAGTATAAATAAAGTTAGTTTAGTTTAGGTTTCCTCCTGTGTTAACACTGGATCAATAAGAGATGATCCTTACTGGACCTTTAGAAAGAACAGTTTAGAACTGATAGAGCTATCCAGTATAAATAAAGTTAGTTTAGTTTAGGTTTCCTCCTGTAGTAACACTGGATCAATAAGAGATGATCCTTACTGGACCTTTAGAAAGAACAGTTTAGAACTGATAGAGCTATCCAGTATAAATAAAGTTAGTTTAGTTTAGGTTTCCTCCTGTAGTAACACTGGATCAATAAGAGATGATCCTTACTGGACCTTTAGAAAGAACAGTTTAGAACTGATAGAGCTATCCAGTATAAATAAAGTTAGTTTAGTTTTGGTTTCCTCCTGTAGTGACACTGGATCAATAAGAGATGATCCTTACTGGACCTCTAAGGAACAGTTTAGAACTGATAGAGCTATCCAATATAAAAAGGTTTAGTTTAGTTTAGGTTTCCTCCTGTAGTTTGAAGAGAAAATCTGTAGATCATTCAGAACTGATAGACATGACCCAACTAGACTGAACTAATCTTTCCTGTCTATTCTTCAGCCTGGTGACAGGGTTCAGGTGGTTGGAACATTCCGTTGTCTTCCGTCTAAGAGAGGTGGTTTTACATCTGGTGTCTTCAGAACCGTTCTCATTGCGAACAACGTTCAAGTTATGAGCAAAGAAGTGCGCCAACCTACACTGCGAGCGATGTGTCTAAAATAAAGAAATTTAGCAAGAACAAGAAGGTATAAATTGAATGAAATCCTGCTTGATTTTTCAGTCAAATCATATTTCTATGGTCAAAATACGTGAAAAAACTTACCAAGACTTTTCAGTATACTGTCTTCCGGGAGAGAAAAGGAAATACGATGTTTTGTGTAATTTGGTTTGTAATTATTTGAAAATTTAGGATGTGTTTAGTATTCTTGCAAATTCTCTCGCTCCGACAATTCATGGTCACGAATACATCAAGAAAGCCATTTTATGTCTTTTGCTTGGTGGTTGTGAGAAAGTTTTAGATAATGGCACCAGATTACGAGGGTATGGTGACTATAATATTATGTGGATAGTGGAAAGTGTCCAGTACTATAAATAAAGTTAGTTTAGTTTAGGTTTCCTCCTGTAGTAACACTGGATCAATAAGAGATGATCCTTACTGGACCTCTAGGAAGAACAGTTTAGAACTAATAGAGCTATCCAGTATAAATAAAGTTAGTTTAGTTTAGGTTTCCTCCTGTAGCAACACTGGATCAATAAGAGATGATCCTTACTGGACCTCTAGGAAGAACAGTTTAGAACTATCCAGTGTAAATAAAGTAATTTTAGTTTATATTAACGGCTTTCTCTAGGGACATAAACATTCTCTTGATTGGTGATCCATCAACAGCGAAGTCTCAGATGCTACGCTATGTTCTGCACACGGCCCCTCGCGCTATTCCGACCACGGGTCGTGGCTCGTCTGGCGTGGGTCTCACTGCAGCTGTCACCACAGACCCCGAGACAGGTTTGTACAGAAACCCCTCACACCAGTCCACAGCGAAACAATCTCAAAATTACACACTTTCACTCTCAAACCAATATTGCTACAACATTGCACAACATGTTTACAGGCGATCGAAGGTTGGAAGCCGGAGCCATGGTGCTGGCTGATCGAGGAGTCGTTTGCATCGATGAATTTGATAAGGTAAATATA